GTCCAAGAGTAAAGTCAAGAAACTTCGATCAAAATCCTGTTTTATAATAATTTTCTTTAAATTTTTGTTCATAAAATCTTTCGAGTAGACTTTTTACGCATAAGCTATGTCTATAATCATGCCGTAACACACTTGATGTGTATGTCATGCTCCATCGTAGTCTCCTGCTCTCCTACGGCAGGGAACTTGCAGATAGGTACATAGGTACAGAAGTTTGTCCCATTCTCAAGACGAGCAGGGTGAGCCTGCCTTCTCACAAGGTGAAGGAGAAGTGAGTTAGTTTTTACCCTATGGCATATATGCTCACAATTTGTCATTGCACAATCAATGGCGCGAGTAAACGATGCGGCAGTGCTACGAATATATATCTGAGCTCACAACCCTAATACCATTTTGGTTTACTTTCATCTTTTACCCTCAGATTTATATCAGACCAGCTTTCGTTCCCTTACCTTAATTTCTAAAATGTATCCTATGTTTTTGTTGATGATTGCAGCTAGGAGTTTCAAAATGCACTCATTTTCAGACAAGCTGGACGGGTCGTCATCTGTTTGATGCGGTATGCCGTATTATCGGCCTACGTGAAGTTTGGTTTTTTGGCCTGCAATTCACAAACAAAAAGGGCTTGCCATGTTGGTTACAAATGGATAAAGAGGTGCTCATTTGTATTCTTTTACTCTCATGATATCAACAAATTTCTCTACGCCTTTTTTTCTTGCGGTTATGGTTTTGTTGAAGAATAATGCCTGGTTTATATGGGTTGAAGTGGAGAGATTTTCCACACCATTTTAGATTCGCAAGCAAGATGTGCCTAGAGGGGAGGATGGATGTATGCAGTTTTTGTTCCTAGTCAAATTCTATCCGGAGGATGTTGAAGACGAACTCATTCAGGTAAATACGTTATTTTACCAAGGATGTCTTTTTTGAACATATGTGGGGATTTTCGCTCAATATTGCTTTCAGCTCACCGATTATACACTTTACATGATATGAAGATATGTTCTTGCAGGATCTCACAAGGCACCTCTTTTTCTTGCAAATAAAGCAAGCCATCTTATCCATGGATCTTTACTGCTCTCCCGAAGCTTCCGTACTACTTGCAAGTTTCGCAGTCCAAGCTATCGTGTGTAGTTATTCTTCGTTCTTTGCCGCTATTGATTTTTCATTATTCTTTTTTATAGAATGGCGATTGTACAGATGAAATAGAGCCATTAGATCTGGATAAATTATTACCAAAGAGTGTTATTGATCAGTACGATATGAGTGCTGATATGTGGCGTGAGCGGATAAAACGATGGTGGACCAATAATCATGGACAAACAAGGTGCAATGATATATTTATAATTCATTCGAAATTTTTTAAAATAAATCTTCTTTCTTGCTTTTATAGTTTTTTACTTGTTTTAGTTTTATACCTTTTCGTAACTTTTGTTATGCCTTTTTTATATTGGAATATCACTGTTAATAATGAAATTACACTTAAGAGAAGACGCTGAAATGGAGTATCTTCGTGTTGCTCAAGATCTTGAGATGTATGGAATTCTCTATTATCCTATTTGCGTATGTTGCTACTTATCCTAACTACTTTTTGATGATCGAGAATGTATATTTTTGAATTTAGAAAGTAGCCCCTTTTAGAACAAAAAGGAAACAGATCTGCATCTTGGGATCTCAGCTCAAGGCCTTGGAATTTATAAAGGTTCTAATCGTATAACCCCAAGACCTTTCTTCTCTTGGAGTGAAATCAAGAATATTACTTTCAAGAATAAAAAGGTCAGTTTCTAGTTTAGTTATGGAGATGCCATAAACTTTTCTTTTTGAAGTTTCACATGAAGACTGTGGACAAATCTACGATATCTTTCCGCGCTCAAGAAAGGACGATTAATCCATCAATTCTCGACCTCTGCATAGGAACACATAACCTTTATCTCAGACGACGGCAGCCGGATACTCTTGAGGTTGTCTTTTCATTGCAACGGTTCTTCTCATAACCTTACCTTCTCCTTCAAAAAAAAAA